ATTCATCATTCACCCACCCACCCATTCCCGCCCCGGCCGACAGCAAGGCTGGAGTATACGCACCCGTCCCCTTGCCAACATTAGCGATATCCAACGAGCATCGACAGAGTATCCCATCCTGCTCGTCTCCATCTGCCGCATTGTTCAAAATGGAGGACTCGTCGCTCAAGGTTCGTGCCTGCAACCCCAACCTCCCACCCCACCGCTGTCCAGCTGCTCGTCGCAGCTGTGTGGAAATCGCGTTGGTTCTGGAGATCAATCAGTGACCAACATGTCCAACTGCAGGAGCGCCTCCTCACCTCCCAGAAGGCCTTCGATGGCTTGTTGTCCCTCATCCCCGCCAAGATGTACTACGGCGAGGATGCAAGCGTATGTCAATCCTCTCTCCACAGCCCCTCTGGTGCCTAGCCTCTGCCGCCCACTGCCGTCCTTTGCCTGTTCAGGTTTTCTGGGAATACCTTCCTGCGGGCTACTACGATGAACCAATCACTGAGTCTCCTACAGGACCAGTGGCAACGGAAAAAGCAGACAAAAGCACAAGCGGCCGAGGCAAGACGGAATAAGCTCGATCCCGACAGCGCCTTGAATCGAAGTGCCAAGGAAGTCATGGATGAGCAGGCCAGGAAGAAGCGGAAACACGACCAGATGCAAGATAGCGACGATGACTGGTCAGAAGTTGAGGGTATCGAGGCAGAAAAACCCCGCCAAGGCATGAAGAAGAAGGCTGCCAGGGAAGCGAAAAAGAAACAGAAGCAGCAGGCCGAGGAAGCCGAGCTGACTGAGAAAGAGAGCCGGAAAGAAGAGAAGAAGGCCGCGCGCAAAGAACGGAAGGCAGAGCGACAACGCCTGCGAGATGAGGAAGCCGAGTTCAACCGGAGAACTGTGAAGGGCGTCAATAAGATCAAACTTGGCAACCGAGGAGACATTTCGAAGACGATACCAAACGGCGATGCATCACAACCCAATCCTGCAAACGAGGACACCGAGTCGGTCGGAGAAGACGCGACCGAAGCAGATGAGCATACCTCAGAACTCCCTGCAGATGCTGCTGAAGGACACAACTCCGAATCCATGACATCTCCAACCGATACACCACAGTCTCCTGTCTTCGACGTGCATGGGACACCGGTCGATTCCAGGGGGCAGGCTCCCAGTATCACAACTTCCGTTTCCTCCGCCGACCCAGCGTCCGAGAAACCGAAACATATCAAGATACCCGCAGACAGTGCTGCGCTGCGTGCTCGCCTAGCTGCCAGAATCCAGACTCTCCGGGATGCCCGGAAAGCCGATAGAGATGGCAAACCAATCCGTACGCGCGAAGAGTTGCTAGAATCTCGCCGTCAAAAACAAGCAGAACGTAAGGCCCATAAGAAGGAGCTAAGGCGACAAGCGAAGCTGGAAGAAGAGCGAAAACGTGACGAAGCGTTAGCGTCGGCGCGCGAGTCTCCCGGAGGTATCCTCAGCCCTAATATTGATCTCGAAGAACAACACAACTTCGCCTTTGGCCGTGTCGGATTTGGCGATGGCTCTCAATTATCTCACGACCTAACCCACGTTCTCAATAGAACTCCCAAGAAGGGCCCATCAGACCCTAAGACAGCACTTCTAAAGGTTGAGAATCAGAAGAAACGGCTGGGGGCTATGGACGAAGAGAAGCGCAAGGATGTTGAAGAAAAGGAGGCCTGGCTTACTGCTAGACGACGAGCTGAGGGAGAAAAGATCAAAGATGACGAAAAGATGCTCAAAAAGGCCGTCAAACGGAAGGAAAGCACCAAGAAGAAAAGTACCAAGGAGTGGGCAGCGAGAAAGGAGGGCGTCGCAAAGAGTATTAAGGATCGACAAAAGAAGAGAGAAGAGAATATTAGACAGCGACGAGATGAGAAATTGCTCGGTAAAGCTGGCAAGAAGAAGGGTGCCAAGAAGTCCAAGGGTCGAGCTGGCTTCGAAGGTTCTTTTATGGGAAAGAAACGATGAGAGCTCTCGACCTCATGAATCTATTTATGCCAGAGAACCGTTGCTCAAACAATGAATGAAACTAGCCCCGTGTATATACGATACCATTTTGGGCTAAAGGGATGGTAAATCTCTCCCGTTAAAATAGAGGGAATAGCTTTACCCTCCCATTAGTGTTCTGATGGGTTTGGTGGCTAATCATTCTATCTATGTTTCTGCTACTCTCCTGGAGGGCGGACTATTAAGTTGGTGACTAGACACATCTTCCTGATCCCCGACGGCGTATCTATCTCTAGCTCGTTCACAATTCGAACCCTTTAGTCGTCCCGACTAGACCGAGGAGGAAACCTGCTGTGTGCCACGGCGAAATAGTCTCTATCCAAGCTCATTTCCCAATTTCCTACGACTCATGAGTTTGATTTGTCTGCGAGCACTTCAAGCTCATCCCATGCCAGCCATCTAATGTTACTCAAACTTCTCGTCTCAACAAAACGGCTTCTAGTTTCCACGATTGAGGTCATAAATAGTCGCGTAGGGCGTGTGACACGTCATTTGCTCGGTGGCAATTCAATAGCTGCTAGCTTCTACAAAGCCTCGATGGTTTAAATGGACGGCTTCATAATAGCCGGGACCAATGCAGTAGATGTCTCGCTATCCTTTCCCGCTCGAGATAGCATTCCTACTTCAAGTCAAGCCGTTGTGCTCATCAACCTGGACAACAAGTCACCTACCTACTTCTCCACTGCCAAGAACCACATGCAGGGACCGTCCCGACCGCATCACGCAATATTCACATACGAGCATATAATAATCACCTTTGGAGATCTCAAGGGAATAGCGCAGATCCGAACCACCTATCTAAACCCAACATGAACCCACGCCGAGATGCACGGCAAGCAATTCCTCCTCTGCGCCAACACCACCTGCCTTGCCGGGAAACCGGGGCGTGCCACTACCGCCCTATCATATTCGTGGACCACGATCTGCGCTGATGATGCTATTTGGCACAATTTACGATGTATCCAGATCCGTTAGGTTTCACCACCATGATTTGCAATTGTCTATAGGCAGGAGAGGATATAAGAACGGAACTCAGATCTAGAGGGCCTCAGAAAAGAGTTGAGTTTCCTCCCGAACCGCTTACACCTTGCGCATCGCATCGCCCTACTCAACTACCTTCCATGGGAGTTTGGAATTCGGCCAGATAAGAACATCTGATTTCCAATCACGTCACGTCTAGTGCACATATTAGTGCACACACACATTTTCGCAGCAGTGCAGGGCAGACTCCTACTAGCTCACCATGCGCTTCCCAACGCCAACACTTCCTGCTTTCCTCCTCCTCCTTACTTCCCAGCCCATAATGGCAAGGGCCCAGGACCCCGTCGTCGGCCCAGTAAAGGGATCCCTGGTAGTTGTCGGCGGGGGCACTCTCAGCGACTCCATCTACCAAGAAGTCATCACTCGAGCGCGCGGGGGTCCCATCATCGTAATCCCCACAGCAGACGAACAGCCGACCTATGACCAGAACGCCGCGGGCGCCGCGACGTTCAGACGTCTCGGCGCTTCGAGCGTCACCGTCCTGCACACCTACGACCCGAAGGTGGCGGATACGGACGCCTTTGTCGCGCCGCTGCGCAACGCGTCTGCGGTCTGGTTCGGCGGCGGCAGACAGTGGCGCCTCGTGGACGCGTACGCGGGCACCAAGACCGAGGCCGCCTTCCAGGCCGTGCTGGACAGGGGCGGGGTCATCGGCGGCAGCTCGGCGGGCGCGAGCATCCAGGGCAGCTTCCTGGCGCGCGGCGACACGGCGACGAACCAGATCCTCGTCGGCGACCACACCGTCGGCTTCGGATACCTGCGCAACGTGGCCATCGACCAGCACGTGCTCGTGCGCGGCCGCATCTTCGACATGTTCGACATCCTCAAGGTCCGGCCCGAGCTGCTGGGGTTCGGCTGCGACGAGAACACGGCGCTCGTCGTCGACGGCGACGACGCGCACGTCATCGGCGCCAGCTACTGCGCCTTCTACGACGGCGGCTTCTGGAGCCGCGAGGGCAGCGCCGAGAAGAACCTGCCGCCTAAGGACCAGCTGTTCTACTTCTTGAGGGCAGGGGATAAGTATAATCTGGCGCTGCGCAAGGTCGTCGAGTAGAGGGCTGGGGATGGAACTTGCGAGCTGCTGGAGAGGTCGGTGGAATGGCGTACGAGGTTTTTATGAATCTGTCAAATGGAAAATACATCCCCTGTAGTGAAGAAAAGGAAAACGTAACGTGTTAGGTAGGCGGATAGCTATGGTCTTCTAGACCAAGTCTCTGCATCGCTCCTGATTATTGAAGTTCCCCGTTAGCATTCAATAATTTCCGGACATTTGTTTCGCTTTGCTCTCTGTAGTCTAAGATGATCTACCCTCTACTACCATCGATATGTTACTCCATAATTAAGGGACATAGTGTGTTGACGATGATGGCCGCTTACTATGAGGTAAGCCCATCTTGACTACCTAGTCAATGGTTTTTCTGTATGCCGGAAGATGGAGACGGAATCGGGATGATGAATTTACTCGGGGCGGGGATTGGCTTTCCTATAGCCAACTGTGCACAACGGACAAGTAGTTTCTGTGAGTTGTATTAGTCTGAAGAGAAAACCGAAGACATGTGGAAAGAGGGAAGAAGAAGGGCTACAAACCTTTCGCTCTTACATATCGATTCTTGCGATCTGTATAAAGACCCTGAAGTAAGTAAGCTGCTTTAGATTTCGTATGCCCAAGACCAGTCAGTTCCAGACGAATAGTTATGCTCTTCCGCAGCCGTCGCCGCAACAAGTGCGATGAACTTAGTCCGCCACTGGCTGTATACGTACTAAGGTTGGTTGCAATGATGAAACTTGGATTGATTCGATTTCTGCTACACGGTCATGGGCAATGAGGATAAGGAGCAGGACGACAAAATACAACCCTATATATATCAGTGGGGCCGACTATTGGGCGCCACTCTATTTCTAGGTTAGTTTTGTCATCCACGAATCATCGGGAATCCATCGCAACTGGGCGTGTAGTTTAGTGGTATAATATTCGCTTTGCATTGAAAATAAGACAAATAGTGCCTGCGAAAGGTCCAGGGTTCAATTCCCTGCGCGTCCATAAGTTCATACTTTTTTCCCGTTCGCAATGCCTGTTTTTTATTCCCCTCGAGAGAAAAGGAGAATGATGTGTGGGCGGCGGTTGTGGTTGCAGCTATTGCCTCCAATGATTCTTTTTAAAATGCTTGTTTGCCCTGTCTACAAGTGTTATGTTCTATCAATGGGCACAAACAAACCTGGCCGCATAGATTGTGGTTAGGGTGTGTTGCTAGCTAATAGGGGAACAGACAAAATGTCTCTAAGATTTAACTACGGGCCTACCACTGCTCTAGTCTGAAATTTGAATTGGTTGGGCTTGGCGATGTTGCTACTATAGTGGTCCTGCTGGAACCAGGGATTTCATCGACCTTCCCAGTGCCTTGCCAGACACTATTATGCAGCTTCTTGGCCAAATGATTTCAAGGTTCCGATAAGGAATTATTGTTCTCCTAAAGAATATGAAGATTGCAAGGACATGTAGCAGTAGCTGGTATGGGCTAGCGACGAGGATTTCTTAGACAGTGTAGCCCAGAGCATGGTCGAAATACGGTATCTCTTGGTTGGGGGAGCTGCAGCAAACAAACGAGCATATCTTTTAGATGACAATCTGTCTATTTACAGTTTCTTGAACAGGCAGTCTTGATGTCAATACCCTCGGTTTACCTTCCAATGACACATTGGGTTACTTTTCTTTCGCGCCGTTCGTCTTCATACCGATCCTCGCCATTCCCATCGTAGTATGAGTTTTGGTTCGTGCGGAGTCGATTTGGCGCCAATAGTTGCGTACAAGCTGCTCGTTGACCTCTGGAGCAGGATACACATCGCCGCCGAGTACGTGTGTCCCGGTGGGCAACCCAGTCAACATCATGGCTGCGGCGGCTTCGTCGGGAAGGTCTTCAATTATTGTTGCAATGCGAGCCAATGAACTCTTAGGGTACTCTGCAGCGTAGTCCATTACCCGTTGTTGCCACTCCAAAAAGGGCAGGCGGCTTTGCCCTTGACCACCGCTCACTATGTCCATCAACTGGAAGAAATAGTCAGCCCGCGCTGCATATTTATTCACGAAATCGAAGTCTTGGCCGATGCGGTCCCGATCGTCGAACATGACGGACGCGATGGTCTTGCTGAGATAATCCACCGATTGAACTACCGAGAGATCGGCATCTAAAGATGAAATAGCCCAACTCAATACTCTCCACAATCATATTGTGCAGAAAATCGCCGCGGTCCAGGCGGAAATGGCCCAGTGTCGAGGCAGTAACAAATGGTATACGGTATACGGAGGCCTTAGCGCCACGCCAACGAGCTGCCGCTACCATTTTCTCCGCCATATATTTTGAGATAGAGTACCCATATTCCCGATCCTCTTCTGGTACATAGTAGCCGAGGTGCATAGGCAGCGTTGCCAATGTAGATATAACATGTACCGCTTTCTCACGACCGGATGAGGCAAGACGTAATATCTCGTGGGCGCTAATGACATTAGGACCGATATAGTCACTTAATGGTCGCATCCAGTCAACGAGGGCGCTTGCGTGGCAGATACTATCGATATTATCTGCCAGCTCGTTGAAGGTGTCCACCGACAGCCCAAAGAACGCCTTCGCTGCATCACCCAAAATGGGCTTCAGTAGTGAAGCATAATGGGGTTACCAAAGGTCATAGTTATCAAGTGCAGATATCAATCGTTCCCTCCCATGCTCGATGTCCTTGGCGCGTATAAGACAATAGGTCGTAACGCCTCGCTCAAGTACCTGGTGAAGTATGAATGCAGCAACAAAACCTGTGGCTCCAGTAATAAAGACAGAACGGGGACTTGGGACCTCTGCGATGTTACTAAAACTGAAGGCAGGATCGAGACAACCCTGGCCGATTGCCATTGCATCCAGGGCAGTGGCGGTTCTAGCAGACACGGCGGTATCAACGTCATCGGCTGACATGAAACCCAAAGCTTTAGCTACAGTCTCTCGAACCATTCTTAGCACGATTTCAGCATGTTGAGCCGGTTCAGCTCTGGCGAATGCTTCTTGAAGACTCTGATTACGTGTGCCATTTTGCGCTTTGTTGCTTCTGCTGCGCTTGCCGTTTGCTTGCTGTTGGGACAGGTTGCGGTAAAATGGTGGTATACCGCCATCCTCTCCCTCTTCCCCCACAAAGTATTGCTGAAGACGCTCCAAATTGAGCGCCACCACCACAGCGAGGCTACGGTCACTGCTCACTGCCCGCTCAAAAAGCTTGAGTCCCTCTGCAGGTGTTGGGCTGGCCGAGTCCGAACTTGCCAAGGTGATTCAGCGTCGTCCTTCCCGTAAGCCCGGTCGCCATCCCATCACCTTCCCAAATACCATATGCTACAGAGGTTGCAGGAAGGTGATGCGCCCGACGGAGATCAGCAAGCTGCAATTTTGATAGCATGCGCCAGGTCCTGTCAATGTTTGATCAGGGAGAACACTCTCTGCGCGGTGTTGTCCACGCCGCAGGTATTGTCGATAATGGTGTTCTCTCCACGATGACACCCCAACGATTCGCTACAATCTTCGCACCTAAGGTGGCCGGCGCATGGAATTTGCATCAGCTCACCCTTCTTCATGATGTTCTCGTCGATTTCAGGTGTCCTTGGAAGTCTAGGTTTAGGGAATTACGCTGCCGCAAATACCTTTCCCGCGTTAAGGTCGAAGGTAGAAACCTTGGGACCATCGCCACCTGGCCGTCCAACCATGTTGAAACGGCCATGGAAATCGAGGAGGCTCAGATACTTGGACAACTGAAACTCGTCGAATGAGCTTGCGGTACTAATGATCAGGTCAAAAGTCATCTCGTGGCGCTCATTCTAGCCTTCTTCTGTCGTGGCAAGGAATCATCAGCCCCCATCCTCCTAGCATCCTCCTCCTTGGCCCGGGTTCTCGAGATGGCACAGACCTCGGCCCTAAGCGCCTTTGCAAACATGATAGCATAGTAGCCAAGACCACCAATTCCCACAACACCGACCTTCTTGCCGGGTCCAGCACCAAAACGTTTAAGTGGACTGAAAACAGTGGCGCCCGCACACATCATTGGTGCAGCTTCACTGCTTGCTAGGGCATCCGGGATGGGATATACCCTAGAGAATTCAAGCTTGCTCAGCGATCATGACTGAGATTTTGCTAAACCTTAGGAATTGGGTCATTGAACATACCAGTATTTATGAATACGCGCATGGGACGAAAATCCGCCCTGGGTGATGCAATCCGTCCCGGGATAAGGTGCTCCGTAGGCATTGACCTGTTGCAGACAGTACGTCTCATTGTTGTTCTTGCAGTGGCGGCACTCGAGGCAAGAGTATACCTGAGCCCCAACACCGACCCGCTGGCCGACCTTGGCGAGCGTCACGGCGGGGCCCACCCGGATCACTTTGCCAACGACCTCGTGGCCGACGGCAAGCGGGTAGGGCATCTCACCCCAGTCGCGTCGAATGGTGTGTATATCACTGGCGCATACGCCGCAGCACTCGATCTTGATGTCGACATCATTGTCGCCAATGGGACGTGGCTCCCAAGAACACTTCTGAAAATCTTGCCAGTGCTCAGCGCTCGGGGCCTGGAAGCCCTGGAATTTTTCAGGATAGCTCATGATGAGTAAATCATGAGGATGAAATCGGATTTCAATAAGGACAGCACGAGCGTTATGGATTTAGTTTCCTATGCGAGAAGTTGCTTTTCGCACGGAACAAGGGAAAAAAACAGATCACTACTAGTCCAACAGGTAGAGATATTATATTTCCTATGGTAAAATCTTGAATTTCTATAATCAAGAGTAGTAATATAGATTTGAGTATCAATATAAACTAGGTAGATATCACGTCCCCCTCATGAGGTGAACAGTCTGCTTGCCGATAATCACCTAGTACACATGACTGATGAGATCATGAGCGGCAGAAGGGTCGTCCATCTTGCTGCATGCTGCTTCACTACTATATTGGTAATTTTGCTGAATCAGGTAAGTGGACGTGTTGACGGAGGACGTGAGGGCAAGTATACAGGCGTATTGATCAAATATGGTAATCCGAGACAGGTAGCGAGTGCGTGTAGAGGTTGCAACATGTAGGGATCGCCGTATGATGCATTATCACCTGCAGAGTGCCACGATGGAAACCTTTGTATGGGGTCGGATAATTATAACACAGCTTTGCTACTACTTCCAAAGCCTACACTATCCCCGTCTGTCTGTACCCGGGGCCACCAAGAATTCTTACGTGAGCTCATGCAGGTGCTTTTCCCCCGTCACGATAGGTTAACGTTGCAACCCAATCGCCAACAGGGTCCTTCGTACGGGGATCTACCCAAAATAATAGCTCCCGATGGATATTGAAAATAAAGAAGAGAACCTGATGTAACGTTGAAAACACTAAGGTTGCTGAGAAGGGCAATCAGCTGGATTTGGTAAGGCTGGAGTGGCCTGTTCTTTGTTGCAAGACGGCCCCGCTCACGGCTTCTACAGGGTTATTTTGCATATAAATGATGAAGAGGTGATATGAAATTCTCTAGGGCTAGAGGTTCGGGGCACAAGTTCCCACAAACATTTGACCCGTTTCGATCATAGCTAGGTGGATAATACTTCCGCACTCGAGACCCCCCTGCCGGCATACTCTAGGCGGACCCAACCTATCAACCACATACTCCATGCTTGACAATATCATGCAACCCGTCATGGCATGATATCTTATAGCCGTTATCTTTTCGGCTGCAGCCGCCAATTGAAGATCCCGAGGAGTCGAGAAGCTGTCCAGGCTCGTTCCCACCCCCACAGCCGCCGAATTGGTAGTAAGATCCATCGACAACGAAGCCCTGGCCGCACGAAGACCCCGCAAGAGAGCCAATGACTGACATGCCTGGACAGGCGTGGTCTCCCTCAACCCAGATGACCCAATGGTTGGTCTGGTCAGAATTTTGGATTTGCTGGCCGTAACCAACTTGAATGGCATTCGCAAGGCCGCTGATGGAGGCAATGCCGAGAAAGATGAGAGTTTCAGTCTTGGAGTACATGGCG